GCCTTAATTGAAGATTAAAACGCGAAATTATACGAATCTCGAACTAAAATACCCGTATCGGCCCGTTTTAAGGAATCCCGAGTCAATCCAAGCACGCCGCCTCAAATTGCCTATCCTCTTTGTGGCGGCCATATTTACAGAGACATAATTAAACTTCATGTTTAGGCTGATGGCTTTGCCAAAGCCTTAATAAATTAAAAAAAATAATAATTATGACATTCAAATTTCGAACATCTCTGAAAAACAAAACAATTTCTTTCGACCTCAGTTCTAATATCAGTCGAGACTAAGTTTTATTCGAAATGAAATATCAATAGCAAACAATTTTGACTAATTTCATACGCTACTTGATATCGAGCGATATGATAGTTGGGGCCGACTCTAGTTTGTCTGAATTCTTAGAGCATATAACCAATATGATCTAAGTCTGAATTAAATAAAAACTACGCTCCAAAACTGAGATGCGCGATAAAAGTTTTTATTTGCCGCCATTTCGCCAGTCATAACATGCGGTTCCTAAACACACCACCGAGAGCTAATAATATGTGTGTAGATAAAGCAGTGTATGTAACTGTACATAATTTAGCATTAAAATAATCGTGAGATGTTTTTTATGAACCTCGCCTGTGGGCTCGTTTCATAAACCCTCACTCGTATTATAATGCTTTTCATTATGTAACAGTCACATAAATTACTATGCTGCACACTGGAGCAAATACAAAAAATAAAAGCCAGGTAAAACAGGCGGCCTTACTGCTATGTAGCAATCAGATCCAGGCAACCTTCGGGTTTCAGGACAAACTGTGAGATAATAATTATTCGAGGGCGCAACAGAATACGTATTACAAACACATATTTCACATACACAAATGAAAAAAAAGAGAAAAATAATAATAAAAATAGTCTAAAATAGATATTCAAGATAATAGTAATAAATAAATAAAATACTTAAACAAAATACATAAATAACAAAAAAAATACATATCATTACACAAAATGAAAGTAGGATTTTAGAGAACATAATAATAACAACACAAAAGAACAAAAATAGGAGAAAATAATAATTAGAATGCAAGATAATGAGCTTTGAGTAGAGATTTGAAAGACTCAACAGACTTAGGCAGAGAATTCCACAGCTTGATGCTTCTAACCTTGAAGGAATTGGAATAGAAGTTAGAAGAAGAATGGATAGGGTAGTTTTACTTAATACGTACGGCAAAAGAATGACATACAGTACCGCATCTGTTTCGCGAAAGCTGCATCTTCGGGTTATTCAAGGTTAGATCTAGAATTAGATTCGTTGTCATATTGAAATTGTGACCAGGCATATCATCGCTGCCCTTTCACAAATTATTTTTAGGAAACGCTACCTACTTTTCAGGAAACGCAAAAAATAGATAGATGTCGGATTCCTCGGGATCCTCTAAAAAGAGATGAATGATTTTTTATTATATTAATAACAAAATTTACGACGTTTAAAGTAATGTTTACGAGTTTATTGAATATCACAATATTTTACTACCATGATATTCCATTAAAAAAAATATGTACATTGTTATAATTATTAATACAAAGATCGCGTATTACGAAAAATTTCTCCGATTCACCTCGACGCTCCGCGCTGAGTCGAACCAGTGTCTTCAGTATACCAGGCCCGTATTAAGGTAAACCTAAAAAAGCTCATAAATATTTTATTTTTGAGTTTTTATATTTAAAAAAATAACATCTTTATTTGAGGCTTTATGAAACTCATCAACTTTCAAGTTAAAGCCAAGGGAAATAAAACTATCACAATAACAATGTAGAATTATTTTTTTTATTCTCTTTAAATAGTATAATGACTTAATTTAATAAGTAGATTTTCAAAGTATTTAATAATAAATCAAAACTGTACGGCTTCAATTTCTATCACGACTTTACAGTGTACGAGTAGCTAACGACCGCATAAACTCAGCATGGCATATTTAGTTCTTCGTGTGACCGTCAGGGCGCGCTGTGCATTTCGCCAAACACAAACACTTTACGCCATAGATTGAGTATCGCAGTCGCTAATAACGTCACGTAACACTAAATTCCTGTACTCGCAACATCTGCGTAACTATACGAGTTAAACAGATATATCGTCCCTCTTTTCACTAATTACTTAAGGGAGACACCACAGTTGTTAATACGGAATTTGCATGATCCGGTCAGAACTATGGCATGAATACTGTATACAAATTATTGCATGAGTGTGTATCAGTGGCGAGGCGTCCATGTAACTGTATTTTCACCAGTTTGCATAAAATTTTCAACATATCAAATGTTACATTGTGTGCTAAATTTTATGTGTAGAATAAGTTAACTAGTGAAATGAAGTATATTAGTACCTTGTGTGCCAATAAGTTAGGTGTTTTTTGTTTTGCTCCGGTTTTACTAAGGACAATTTTCACGCCTCACCACTGGTGTGTATGTAAAAAAATATATGAAAATTTGTATGCTGCAAGGCGGATCACAGTCATTCTATATGAACTTTTTGTACCACAAAGAAATAAAAGAATTTGAGAAATGAAGGGCGAAAAGACGTTTAAAATTTCGCTTCCGCTCGGATCGCCGACACGAAATGCATGTCTTTTTCGCTCTTATTACATAAAGATATTCCTAACCGGCTTAATGCAATTCTGTATCAATAAGAACGATGTCTAAGAAGCATGGTGGTGACACGTTCGACTTATTCAGCTGTCAAAAGCAAATTCCATTAATCACCTACCTTTTTAATTTTTTTTATGAGATCGAGTGACGGTACGAACAAGTCGTGGGTCGTGGTAGTAGCGACACGCCTTTCCATAGCAATTGCAGTGCCACGCAGAGCTTTAAATCGCAAAGATCTGAGTGGCATTGCCACTGCGCCCGTCACCCTGAGACAAGTAGACAAGTCTCATGTGCCTGTAATGTTACCAGCACCATTACCACCACCATCGGAGGTAGAAATAGGTAAGGTGGCACTTCCCTGAAAAAACTTTTTCAAAAGGAGCTCTACTGCTACTACATATTAACACAACTCATTGGTAAAACTTTGAAAATTTGCTTAAAATGCTTAAAAACAACATTCAGTCAGGAGAAAGACGATAAGTGCGGTATTGTTTTTCTCAAGTTTAAAATCTGCCTATAGAGAGCGCACCGTAAACAACACTGCAAGATTAAGTATTATTTTGACTGGCCGTCATGTCTTTTTTCAATTATCCATAAAGCTTTGCGAGCGTTTGGCGTGCTTTTTCTTTTTCCGCCACACAAGATTCCAGGGTTTGCTCTAACAATCCTGTATTACGTAACACATTGAAATTGCCCCGTTCGATGCGCTCTGCAACTATATTACAAATTCAGCAATGCCTAGGCCATACTTGTATCATTTTGGCATATTTCCATTGCATATCTTTGCCACTAATTGTGACGCGACGTACTTATCACATAAATGCATATCGACAATTGATATTCCAAACCGACACAAATTATTTACATAGCTGCCATTGAAACGTTGCGGTATGACAGGTATTTATAAAAAGCTTTCTATACGCGACGCACTTCCCGTGCAGATATCGTGTGCCCTCACAACTTACAACTTTCTTTTTCTTATTGTTTTAAAATTTAGATGCATGAGCGAGTTTTAAAAAAATCCGCTCATGCATCAATTCTCAAATTATTTGTTTACATTATGAACTTTGGCAATTTTTTAAATCTAAAATATACCTTACTTCATATACAACATTTCATAAAAATATAATTTCTAGTTAAATCATTTCACGAGCGCGACACACTGCTCACACGATTTTTTTTTAAATGCAAACATGTGCGGTTAATGGTCAGTGTGAGGCGCTCTTTAAAAAGTGTCATGGTTTTTCTTTTTACAGTGAATCTTTATAACATATTAAATAGTCTCTATCATAAAATGCACATTCACTATCGGAATTATATCTTAAGCCATTGAGTTAATAAAACTAAATTAACTTTATTGTGAAATCCAGCTATTTCCTTCATCATCAACATAATACTATTATAGAATTTTAAGTTATAGTAGTCTTGAAGAAATGTTCAATAAATAGAAAGGTATGATTAATAATAATATTCTTGACAGTTAATGGGTTTCAATACTGGTAGAGCTATTACATCAAATCTACTCGTATAATAAGTATTCGGTTCATATTAAAAATTTACTATTAATTACAGCGAAACAAAAACTTTACATCCACTAAGTGTTCTTATACAGCGAAATAGCGGGTTTTTATAGTTAGTTTCGACACAAGTTAATTTTTACTTTTATTACGTTTTGAGTTTCTAAATTAATTGATACTTGTTTAAGTTAATTGCTCTATAGCCCAATGCACAACAAATAAATAATAAATTATTACACAGCTTGGATGGCAAAAATCCATGGTAGTAACCAGTTTAGCTCTTGCAGGTTATCTTGATGTATGATATTTGAAATATATTTATTTCAAAATATATTGTAAATAATATATACATATTGTATATATATATACAATATATACATACAATATTATGTTATATTGTATAAATATATACATACAATATGTATACTTAATAAACGTATATATATATATATATATATATATATACGTTTATTAAGTTGCTTCTCATTAATCTCAGGGGATTCTGCCTCACGAATGAGTAGTATAGTTTAGTCAGTGACAATTTCAAGTGCAATTCAAAAATAAGTATTGTTTGAGGTTTTGGTAATGGTAGAAAATGGTAATTGTTTCCCTGAATCCCGCTGCGTCGAATCTAGTTTAAATGTACTAGGAAATAAAATTTTAATTTAACACAATTTGTAGGAGTGGTTTTAATTATTTTACTATTTATAATATTATATACTTACTAGACGTCTACTATATTGGTCAATGAGTCATGGCTCAAGGTTATGACGTCACGTTTGAGGACAATACGTTTAAAACTGTTTTTTGTAGTACATTTTTACAGAAGAATGAAGGTGGTGATCATAATAATAATGTGAAATTATGGTGATATTGATTTTTATATATATATATATTATTATGAGGCAAGTTATTTTTCTTTATTTTGGTAGCCATATATTTAATTTAATCGGATAATCCGACTGAGCTACGTAGACTGCGATGCCAAATAAAAATTATTTTGATAATATTCTATATACTTGAAGTAATGGCACGATTATCGCAAACTTTAGGGTAATAATATTATAAATAATAATTCTAAAATGGCATCACTGGCGCTGAAACCCAATTCTGTCGATAGGATGGGACAGTAGAGACAGGTATAGTGTGTTTCGATTTATAATATTATATCTTCACTGCCAACCAAGTTTTAAAGTAAGCCTATTTTCCTGTATATGCGAAGTAGAGTTATTTTTAAACCTATAATGGTGCCTTTCGCAATAACTTTAAACATCAATGCACTGTTTGATTGAACTTGATGTAATCTTTCAATCTCAGCGTTCACTACGCCATCTAGTAAAAAATGTCGAATTGGTGTTATTTTTTTAAAGTGACTTAAATTTTTTTTTAACTCAGCAATATAAATCTAGTTTAAATAATAATTATCGTTTTTTTAATACACGCACATGACATAGGGCGGTTTTAAAAGGAAATTAGTCTTGTTTTATAATCTACGTGCATATGATCACACTATGGACCACCTGATTTTATTTTTGTATAATATTGTATAGTTATCAGTTAATATTTATCGATGGTGGATACTGGAGGGTATATTTAGACTTTGTCCATATAAGGCTCGTCAAACTCTGTGTAAGCATAGCTCCTAGCTGCATAGGCAGTCGTTGGTGGGCGTCAGCCTGCTCTTCTGCCGAGGAAGTGTCACTACTCCTGGACCTTGTTCGCCCTGAAACAGATTAATTAAAATGTATTCAGTAGTGTCAATATTACATGCCAGTTGTGACTTCTTGTGATTATAAGTGCAGGAGGTACATCTGTCTTTTCATCATCCCTAACCCAATAGACATACTATACACAGGATTATTTATAAAATGCTAACAACCTCGCAGGACTACATTAGTGACATTATAATCTCAGTACAGAGTACTAAAAACCGACCTCAAAAGTTCGTGGAATTACATCCATTTTCCAAGTTTTATTTAAATCGGTTACCGGAAAGTGCACGAAACCAGATTCATCCCCTAGTTTGCCACCCTTAGAGGTGAAATATTTTCTTCATATTTTAATAGGACCACTACTGAAGTAACCTCTTTCCAACAAAAAGGAATCATCAAAATCGGTTCATTAGTATCGGAGTTATCGCGTAACATACATACAAAAAAATACAGATGAATTGAGAACATCCTGCTTTTTGTGAAGTCAGTTAATAAACAATTACTTTTATTTCATGGCTTTTAACAAACAACTTTTCACAACCTTAGGCAAAGTTCAATTTGTAAATACAAAAAACTTGGTCAGTTTACCAATTATACATCGCAGCCTTATTACTGACCGCCAAGCATTTATTACTGACCTGTACTGTAACATGACTGATACAGTACCCGTGAAACAGTCTTCACTCGCTAGAATGAGTACCTGGTTTTCGTCGGCCCACTACGAACTGCACGCGTTTCGCTCGCGGCAAGCTCGCAAATCACGTACACACTATGATTTTTGGTAACATAATATACAATGGTTACAGTTACAGCTCGCCAGTGAGTACCCGGCTTCAGATATTTCTCTCATGTATAATTTTTTAGCAAATTAGTTTCTTACTTCAATACTGATGACGCGCAAAGGCTGCTTGGAGTAGAGTTTGTGGGCCAGTGTCATGAATATTGATTCTACTGTGTTGCACTCCGATTCCAACAGTGCCGACGTTTCAAACAACTGTTGATAAATAAAAAAATTACAATGTCAGTTCACTTTACATAAAATAAAATAAATTATAGTCAGTCTTCACCATCATTACATGAAGTATATGGATTAGCTAGCCCATTGATGGACAGTAACGGTGTTTATCGTAAAATTAAATATTAGAATATGATAGTACAGTATACCCTATTCTGCAATATGGATGTCAAAAATCAACTATGGGCTTTACTGTGCAATTTGAAAATACTTTCTGTGGAGCCGTCTACTGCTTTTCCATAGAGAAGTATCAACAATGGACTGACAGATTTCAATAATTGACATACATTGAACATTTTATACTGAATCAATATAAGCACTATGGCACGAAAAGTAGTGACATTATGCAATTACGAAGTTAAATCTAAATTGGAAAATTGGCTAAAGACTCTTGATTACACGAGTACTGAAGCTCTACTTGATTGTAATTATTAAATTGATAAAATTAGTAAATTTTACTTTTAATTTAAACTTGAACTTGATTTCATCTTAACTTGAATTGAATTAATCTTTATACACATACACTCTCACTCACACACGAACACACACCATACACTTACACACCCTTACACGTCCATTTATTTATATAGGTCACGAAGTATATTTCATTTCCTTCTTTATTTTCTTACTTCTTCATTAGAATTACCCTTTTAGACATTATAAAATCGAATTTTTTTCTTTTTTGTTACACGCATGCCTATCACTATAGTTGTAAACCATAACCATACAGACTCACTTATATTTATATACTTTATAATGATTGGATTCAATAGAAGTTTTGATTTTATGTAAAAGTTACCCCTTACTGAACATTGCCTCCTAAGATACAGTCTTTGACTAGTTTAGGAGACAGAATCTCTAAATTTGGTACGCCTTATTTTATATTTTGTGCGACGTTATATCTATACCAATAAAAATTTTGTTAAATAAATAATAAAATTGCTGCTCTGTACTAATTATAAGGCAAAAGTGTTAATAAAGATATTATTATTACTATTATTATTTTGTGTAATATTTAAGTAATATCCATCTTCAGGTCACTACTCAGAACACCCAGACCAAAACAATTTAGTAAAGTTAGTTTTCCAAATTCATCCTATCTGGAATGGTACCACAAAGGTCGCAGTTATAATTACAGAGTAGTTTGTTTACTACATGAAGAATAACAATCTCAGCCAATAGGATATCTTCCCAGCTGTAGTTTTGTTATCTTCTATTGTACATTGACTATTTATGTTATATACTAATGTATTGCAATAGATTGATGATACCCAAAGCGGCCTATGATCTTGGTGACCACTTCAACTCACAAGGTGAACATGTCAGCGAAAAAAAGGGGGGTTTATGAGCCATTAATGAGCCAATAAGGGTGATTGATTTGGTCAGGTTATGACCAAAAATTTGACTTGCCATATGGAATGGAATAATTCGCATTACTTAGTAGCTGTGTAAATACATAATACTTTTTATAATATACGTATTATGAATTACTTCTTAAACAGTTCACAAGAAACAAGAATTTCAGATAAAAAAAATAACTTAAATTTTTTTTTATAAAGTTTTGCATAGCTAGCACTGTGTCAGCTGTAAACACATGTTTGAAGTCGTTGAATTTGTAAAAAAATGCAATATTAGAAAGGCAAAGAGTCTACACAAAACAGAAAAATATGACACATGGTTTACCAGCCAAAAGTTTGATAACCTCTACACTAGACACATGCATATACAGAAACTCGATTGATGTGAACTCTTACAGGCATTCCATATTTGTCGGCGAGGCGCTGTGCGTAGGTCGTGGCCAATCGCGACACTGGCGTGCCGCAGTCGCATTTGTTGCCCACCAGCACGCGCGGTGCCGTCATCAGCCCATGCGACTCAACTTCCTGCATCCAGCTTGCTATGGACTAACCAATATACTTATGTAGATACATACATAGCTGTTTAAGTGAAGTGTGATACGCTTCTACGTATTGTGGACAGAGCTCAGATGAATTTTAGATCAGATATCTGTATTAACTTGGCAATGTTTTAAATTTTTTGAGACTGTATGAGGTAGACAAGTATTAGGACCTTAGAATTCAAAATATCTATTTTATGACCTACAAAAACAGCTATGATATGGCTAATAATTTATTAATCTATTTCTAAGGAAGAATATCAATTTATTTTCTTCAATTTATAGCAAAAACTTACATGAAAAGTTTCTGGTTTGGTGACATCATAAACAATGACAACTGCATGGACGTTTCTGTAGTAATGCTGTACCATGGACTTTCGGAATCTCTCCTGGCCTGCAGTGTCCCATAACTGAAGCTATATTAATTTATTAGTGAAAATATATGATATGAGGAACTTTTAAAAAATTACCTATTTATCAAGTTAATTTATTGCCAAGGTGGGTTTTTTACCTTTATCTCTTCATTGTTGATACGCACATTCCTCTCCCTAAAGTCTACACCGATTGTAGCCTCAGATTTATCCAAAAACTGCCCCTCACAGAAGCGAAAAGTAAGGCAAGTTTTACCCACGCCGGAATCACCTAAAACTATAATTTTAAACACTTTCTTCTGTTTTAACCCAGGTATATGTTGGCTGCTGTTCTCCGTCATAATTCTAGGGCGGAATTTCACTAGAACTAAGGACAATTTTTTATCAAAAAAATATCAATATTTTGGTTATCAACTTTTAAGTTATTAATTTTACAAGAAGTATTACAATATTGCCTTTTCGCTTTTACGTATGTAACTTATTGAATAAAGAAAGAGAGATAAAGTACAATTATAGTATTTTCAAATCGGCCGCATAGCACATAATGTGACATTTTAAATTTCGTTTAGGAATACTTGAAAACGCTAAAGAAAATTATCTATTTCTTTCTTACACATGGGTGGTGCGCTGTAGTTGACTCTTTTTCTCATTTCTATAACACTTTTGTTTCTTATAAGAGTGCATTTCACAATGTTGCCATTTATTTTCTAGTAGTTATTATGTAAAAATTCCAGTATCGAGTTGGCAAGGTTTATGGTAATTTTTAGTAGTTTTTCAGAAATGTCGAACGAGTGTAGGTTTCAGACGATTGTAACGATAAAATTAGAATATATTCTATATTAGAACAAATTTATCGTTATTTACTTTGTATTTAGGAAATTTTATAGTGATATTTTGTTCGAATGTAAATATTTTCGCCCTTGATAGATTCGTCAGGGTGTATAGTCCATAACCTCTGACAGACATTCGTCTTTGTAAATTGTAATTAGAATTCTTGAGCTGACGATAAATGAAAGTGTTGTTTACATTCCGTGAAGTTTGCGGCTCGTGCGTTTTGTGTCTGGATCCTCTTCCTAACGGAATTTCTGTGTGTTAATGAACATGGGGGAGGTAAAGTTTTTCGTGTGCAAACCTAGTGAAATATGTGAATTGTAATTGAATTAAAAGTGTTTTGCGGTGTTTGTTCGGATGCTGGCGTAGGATTGCCATGTCCAGACTCGTGGACTACTTCGTTATTGTGGGTTTTGACCACGAAAAAGAAAGTGAGTATCCTTCCAAAAATACTTACGTAAAAATCCTCTACAAACTTCTCACTTTATTCCACAAAATACCTGTATATGTATTGGAAGTAATTTTCTTATCAGTAAGATAATAAAATACCTAGGTTTTGTTCACGGAACAATGAATTTCTCGTCTTTGGTCATGTAGCAACTTTAATAGACCAGTCAGTTTTAAAAATCCTAAATGTTATTTTTCTTTAAACGGGAATTAAACATTTACGTACATTGTTATAGCTGTTGCTACCGAATTTACTAGACTTGCCTTTTTTATTGGTGCTACTAACTAAACAAAGGCAAATAAAAAATATATTGCATTAAATATCACTTATTTGAAGAACTTTAAAATAATACAACTTTAAGTTTTCTAAAACAGTCTAATTTTTATTATATAAAAAGGAGTTATAATTTATTCAACACTATTATTATTTAACAAATGAGTCATCAAGTTCAATGACACATAGGATTGATAGATAACTGTTGTGCTTATTATGCTTACCAATGTGGGCTTATTGAACTCATTAACTACCTATTAAATTGCAACTAAAAAAGATGATATCTTTACAATATTGAAATGCACATGATAAAATATTTTTATTTTATTTTGAATTCTACAAACTAACTGCATAAATAGCAAAGTAAACTCAGTAGGTAAAGGTAGTCTTTTTACAATAATTATGAGTATGTCAGGCTAGTGTTGGGTCATGCAAAAATGTATTTTATACAATTTCGAAAAAAAAAAATGTTTGCAAATTATTTTCCTAATTTTATTTTCTTTATAGAAGAATTTCCATCATTTGATCTTTTTTGATTATTACCCAACATTGTGTTTGTCACACAACATTCCAGCTCAGCTTTATGGGGAAAAAAAAACCTATCTTACTCTCTATGGTTTTATGTTACCTTGTAATGTCTGAAACATGGAATACCTTTTTTTTAAGTATGATTTTTAAAAAAATATTATAATATATTTCTTGTTTGTTCTTCTCATAGAAATTTGGCTAACTAAGAAATGAAATGACTGACTGATCTAACAAAATAAAATTTTTATAGCAGTAGCTCCTTGTGGAAGAGTTCATCTTGGGAATTACTGCCACCTTACCTACTTCTGCCTCCAAGCAATGATGTGAACATTATTGCATTCCAGTTTTGAAGGGTTAGGGTGCTGGTGAAATTACAGGCACATGGGTCTTGTCAACTTATGTCTCGGAGTGACAAGCGGAGTAACAGTGCCCCTAGATTGTTGTGATTTAAAGCTCTTAGTGGCATTGCAACGGTGCTAGACAGGCGTGTCGCTTATCACCAGAAGAAGCATGACTTGTTCATCCTGTCACTTGGTGTCATAAAAAAATAAAATATAGAAATAACTATATTTTTGAGTTTGAGTAGAAAGAGACTGGAGTCCATACTATGTTAGCTCATAAATTAACATAGACTTAGGGACACCAGGTTTCTAGCCAATATATTTTCGATTTTTGTTTGATTTGTGGTTTTTTGTTTTAATTGTGGGAAAGTTCAGTTGGTTGGTTTTTATTTTTATACAAATAATCCTATATTTAAACAGCGAAAAAACTTAAATAATGCACATGACTGCTAAAGTACCTTGCAGTTACCTTGATCTTTGAGTTTCTAATTCATCCCAAACGCTTGTCTAATTACAATTATTTAGTACCTGTAAATGCAATGCTAATTTTCTCAGTAATACATTGTCCAATACGTAACCATAATGGTTCTTGGAAACATATATTTTTTAAATATCTTTCAAATTCTAACCCAGTTTTTTTATTTACATAAACAAAAAGCTAATTTAAAAAAATGCATACCTTGTGTCTCATTTTATTTATATGTATTTCAATATAAACATCACTATTTTATATATCATTTTTTTCTTCAGATAAATGTGTGAGTGTGTGTACATGTGTAATATTTTGTAATATTTTGTGACAAGTTTTGCCTTATTTAGCAAGCTTAAAATAGTAGTGGGAGGACTAATAATGCTTTACACTGTTTTCGTAGTTGTATATACATACATATTTGTAAAATATGTTACTGATCACACTAGATTTCAAATTGAATTTCCACAAATCCTAGCCTAGCTAATTACCTAATTCTGGTAGAATTTTGTATTCTGGCTTATGTAGAACTTATATGTTTAAACATATGTCTTATACTATATACATAATATATAAAAGCTAACTAAAGTACCACATCGAGTTCTTAGGTTTTCGCGATTGTTACACATAGCAAATGAAACTATTTTTCCGAATTTAAATCGCGTATATTTGTTTTTCAAACAAACCGACGTTTCGGGCCCTTTACAGGTCCCATGGTCACGGTTGACTCAACCCAACCCAGTCAATACGCGCGACACAACTATACACACAACGCAAATATACGCGATTTAAATCCGGAAAAATAGTTTCATTTCCTAAAGTACCACAATTTAGAAACACCTGTGTAATTCAATAAGTTTCGTGTATTAAATATATTCCATACAAATTGATACCAGCATAGCAATCACAATAAATATTGACAATCAATTATTATGAAGTATCAGATTAATGCTGGTTATAAATTGATTCATTTCAAAATGTTGCACCCTGTTTATGCGGATTGTTGATGCCGTGGTGCCCTAATGGTTTGAATTCAGGCAGACCCCGTGAATCCGGGCATATGAATTCTCCAGAATTGATGTGCGAAATTTAATTTGCAATTTACTATGACCTATTCGGAGAAGGAAAACATCGTGATGAAACTGGTACGTCGAAGAAGTTCACAACCCCCGAAAAACGTATAAAGTCCCCAACCCGCGTAGGGTCAGTGCGGCTGACTATGACCTAAACCCTCGCCTGAAAGGAGACCCGTAATCTGCAGTGGAACTTGTAAATTGGTTGATGATAACCCTGTTTTGTCTTTGTTTTTGCATTTCGAGAGCTTCGCTCTTAAGAGCAGCAGGCTAACCTAGAAAGGTAAACAATAACTCAATCGCAATGTTTTTCTGAGTTATTTTGCCATATGATTTCTAGTGCTTTGAATCATACTAAAGTCCTGACTTGAGCATTGAGTAGAGTTCTAGAATACGACCCAAAGTTATGTTAACACAGAATAATTTCACTGTTTGTGATAATCTGGCGCATATATGTAAATAAAAGGTTATTTATTAAGATTCATATAAATTTTATAAATATTATATAAATTTTTATACAAAATAAATTTATGTTTGTCTTTAATGATAAGTCAGATTTTTTACAGTGTTGATTTTTTACAGAATTTAAAATCTGTATCACTACAAAAACGTCGCAGATTTTTGTTTTTTTTTTTTTCAATTTATTTATGACTATGGATGTCCTTCAATTGAAATTTTAGATAATAAATAAGGCCTAAAATAATATAAACAGGTAATAATAGTAATGGCATAGTATAATAAGACGAGTATGATAACTCCATATAAACGTAACAGCGCGGTTCGTATGTGTGCGCGCGCGCCGCGTGCCGTGTACGAACGAACGCACACTTTCACATAATTTCGCGATGCACTCGCGCTGCATAGTGCTGATCGTTCCGCGCGCCTTTCCTTAATATGCGAATGTGTGTGTCCGTACACGGCGCGCGGCGAGCATACACGTACATAACCCGCGCTGCTGTGTATAAAAGGAGTTACCATACTTATATAGTACTTATAGTAAGAATACTATAGTAATAGTATAATAATATACCAAAATTAATTAAATTTTTTCTATAGTAATAACGCTCACAATCAACATAGCCCCGCACTAGGGAAACCCTGTGTCGCGGGTGCCATGGACACACACATAGACAACCACAAATTACACCCAAACTCACGAGAGAAATAAATGTAGGCCATACAAATATTTCTCTCGGCCCGGGAATCGAACCTGCGACCGCTGCGTGGCAGTCCGGCATGGTTACCGTTCGGCCACCGAGGCAGTTATTATAGTATTTACAATGAATTTAAATAGAGGAATTAAATAACCTGGCAGAATTTTGACGGTATTGCCTTGTTTTTTTTATTAATTATAAAATCTGCTTCTTTTGCTTGATTTCCTTATAGTAGAAACAGTGGACCACAATGGCAATTTATAACTAGCAGTAATGAAACAATTTAATTTTTTTTTAATAATATCTAGTGAAGGGACGAACAAGTCATGCGCCTGGTGGTATGCGACACGCCTATCCATAGCAACTGTTATGTGCCACTCAGAGCTGTAAATCGCAAAGATCTGAGACTGAGACATAAGTTGACAAGTCCCATGTGCCTGTAATTTCACCAGCACCCTTATCCTTCAAAATCGGAACACAGTCTGCCCCCGTGGTCAAACAGTTACCACGCCGGACTATCACACAGAGGTACCAGGTTCGATTCCCGGGCCGGGAGAAATATTAGTATGGACTACATTTATTTCTCTCGTGACTTTGGGTGTAATTTGTGGTTGTCTATGTGTGTGTCCACGGCACACGCAACACAGGATTTCCCTCGTGCGGGGCTATGTTGAGTGTGTACAGTAATGCTCATATTAGGGCGGCAGCTATAGGTACGGTGGCAGTACTGCCCTGGAAGAATTCTTTCACAAGGAGCTCTACTGCTACTTAATGTCTATTAGCGGCTACAACTGAAAACCAGCATTACAGCAGTTAAGCTGTGATTTATGCTGAGTTAGATCAATTTCAGCTTATAATTGTAATCATTAATTTCTTTTCTATAAATCTTAAGTTGAAACTTTTTCTTTCTTTCTTTCTTCTTTCTATTCCATCTGATTGTTTTTCGGTTTTCATAGTTACTGTTTTATTTGTACATGAGTGTTATTTATGTACCAAAATGGTGTGTACCCATACACAATCAATCAAACCTCTATAGAGTACTTACGAGATAAACAATTCTCCCTTGATTACACTACGAGGGTGGCGCCCGACGCCTCTCAGAGCCCTATATAGGTCAATCAAGTACGTTGAACCTCATCATTTGC